TACTAGTTTATGAACTAGTATTTTTTCTAACTGGTTTGGGTTTTCACTGCAGGGAAGTTTCACTTCTACAGTGTTGCCCAGGAGCACTTACCTTCTTTTTTAACTTGTAACTGTCAGTGTGGATTCCGACACGCATATGCTCTGACTGCTTGTCTGATGACAGGAGATTCTTCGTTTTGTCCTCGTTCATCACCATCCCCACGCACTTTGCACGGAGGTACATAGCTCTTGTTTTTACTTTTGATGTCGATGTCGTTGGCATACGACAGCAATTGAACCCTCTTGTAAAGAATAGTGCCTGAGCGGTTCAGTTCTGCGGGGCTTATTATCTTCTCTAACACAGAAAAGGGAGTTAACTTGTCTGTAACCTCGTTGGGTTATTCGCATTTCTGACGGAGCTGGTCGTATTGCTCAACGTCATTTTACGCAGTGGTATTAGTTTTGCAGGGATACCAAATGCAGACATCGAGACATAGAGACAAATTCATTTCTTGCTGACGAAATCGGCTTTGAAATCGATAAATGGTATCGATACTTGTTCAAATATCTTTGAACATGTGTGCATACATACATACATCTGCCAGGGTAATAAAACTGAACATAAAAAAATACGTACAATAATACTTATTGACACACAAAAAATACAGTCCACTTTAGAATAGAAGATAAGTAAAATACATAAACATGACAAATTAACAAAACCCCATAAATTGTAATACATTTCACTCTCAATATTTTGTACACAACCAAAATAAGATATCAATGCGTTGATCTCTTTTAATCAAATGTTCGCGCGTACAAATGGATACACCCACACACGCATTAGAAAATGCATTGATATTCTTTGCATGTATACATATAGCCGACGCAAATGCAAGCATTAAAATTATGATAAGACCAAAGCGTTGGTTTGTAAATAGTATATACCAAAAAAACATGTACATACACACACACACATACCCATGTATACACAATTAGTTAAGGAAAATAGAATTAGAATTTGTATATAAAAGGAAAATATTTAATAAACCGATCAGATTCGTAAAGACTCTCAACTAACCATTTCTTCTCCGCTTCTATTTTATCTTTTATTTTTATTTTTATTTTTATGCTTTAGTTGCCCCCAGCAGAGGTAAGGGGTAAAGCATTTAATAATTTATATTTTTCTTTATATTTTTTAGTGTTTTTAGTGGTAAGGGGTAGGGAATTTTAAAATAAGAGTACTTACAGCTCAATTTTGGGTAATAGACATGTGGTCAATCAAGCTTCGAATCGACCATAAAAAGGACCGAACATTTGGTCCATAAGAACCTAAAAAATTTAGCTCAAGCGGCAAACTAAGACGGGAGCAGATTTTCCGCAATTAAAAAAAAGAGAATACCAAGGTATATAGAGCAACTAAAAGCTCAAAAATTAACTGGGAATAAGTTTCCAAAAAAAATAAATAAAAGAAGCCGCTTATTTATATAGGAACAACAAAAAGGCCCTGTGATTGTACAGGCAAAATAGAAAAAGCCCTGTATTAGTACAGACAAAACAAGAAAAGCCCTGTATTTGTTTAGGCAAAATAAGTAAAGACCAATAAATTTTATAGGCACAAAAAAGGCCCCTGTACAGGCACAACACAAAAGTCCTGAATTTTTATAAGCACAACAAAAAAGCCCAGTAATTACACCGGCAAAACAAAAAAAAGCCCTATATATGGTATAGGTAAAATAAAAAAAGCCCTGTATTTGTACAGGCAAAACAAACAATCCCTATAAATTGTATAGGCACAATTAAATTAAACTGGCCCTATCAATTGTATAGGCATATCCGATTTGTTAGTCGTTGGAGCACGAGACTTGCGCATAATCGATTTATTGTAATCCCAAAGAGCAAACATCGGCTGTGAGTCGAGACACAGCAAGGACAACAAGGCGACCAAACCTATTACCTCCAACAATATACAATTGATTAAATCCCTTANAATTGTATAGGCATATCCGATTTGTTAGTCGTTGGAGCACGAGACTTGCGAAAGAGAAAAAAATATGGCAGAATCTAATGAAGCTGGAAAAGCCAAAAATCTGGAAAGAAAAATTCAGACAGAAATAGCTCGATGTTGGAAACTGGCAAAATGGGCCAGAGAAGAAATTGCCGAGGAAGGACCAGGAGTATTTCTGGAAATCCTTGGAACGATAATGAGCTCTATAACACGTATAGCAAAATGAAGTTTGACATCATTAACGACTTTTCTTCGTACGTCATTCTAAGATTTTTGCTTGGGAGGACGAAAAATGAATGATTAAGAAATTAGCTCAAGAAATTAATAACAAAAACGTTGAGGGGACAGTTTGCACTTCTAATTTAAAAGTAAAGGCGGATGCCAAAGAAGATTGGGTCTTGCCAGAAAGTAGTGCATCGTGCAACAAAACTGTCAGAGTAGCTGGCACGGTGAAAATGCGTAAAGATGCCATGCAAGAATTCGTTTGTCACCCGGCAGGTCCACATTTTGGGATAAAATAGTAAATAGTGGGATAAAATAGTAATAGTCGCTGCCGAAAAAACGTTGACAGAACAAGAAAACACATATATGATACATTTCTAGAAGTAAAAACTAGTTGGCGCTATCATAAAGTCACATAGCAGGCAGCCAAAAAGCATATAAATACCCAAACTCGGAAAATGCAATTTTGTTTGTTTACAGAAATTGCAACCATATGTTTTGTGATCATATGTTTTCGTGTTGGATAATTTTTGCTGACTAAAATTTTGCCAGTACAAAATGAACGCTTGCTCTCTCAATTTTTGTGTGTTGCATGATTTTTTGTCGTTATCGAACGCCATCCAGTAAAAATTTGGAAAACTATTTCAAATTTTTGACTTGTTGAACGCACCTATTTTAAGTCTCTTTTCTGCTACAATTTTTCACAAGCCCGTGGTCACCATGAACCAAAAATACAAGATTACGTAAGAGCTCGACGTTGTATTTGTAACTGGTTTTGAGAAAAAAGTTTGCGAAAGCGGGTTCGTCAGCTGAGCGTTTGTTTACATCATAAGCACCACTATTTTACACTTTTATTCAAGTAAAGAAGAGTTAATTCAACATGACAACACATTTTAAAGCATTTTGTTGTATCATTTTACCCAAATTGTGGGTTTAAAGTGGCTGACAATAATTTTGGCTAATTTTGGTTTTCGTTGTTTTCTTTGCTTTGTTTACTTTTCGCTCGTTTCCAGTGAAACAAGATGGCGTAGAACCCGCTAAAAAAATCGACTTTTTTTACTCTCTTGTTCTTACTAGGGCATTCGCACGAGGCGTTTTTACAGGCAACTTTTAGTTGAAAGCATGTTTCTTTAAAAAATTGCCTAGGCTATATTATACTGGTTCGTTCAAGCCAAATACAAAAAATTTCTTGCTGTGAATTTTCAGAGGTATATATTTTTAGTATTGATTACAAAATTGTACTAAAAAGGGGAAATGTTTAGTTATTGGCCCATCGTTTTTGGGTCGGGGGGGGGGGGGGGGGGGGGGGGGGGGGGGGTAGCAACAATTTAGTGCTAATTGATGACAACGGCAGCCCGCTTGGAACTCGTATACACGTTCCTATTCCGACGATATTACGCACTATCCTCAAAGAAAAAACTCAAGCTAAAGGAGCAGATTATACGAAAGTCCTAGCTATAGCAAGCAGATTTGTTTGAGAGGCTATGTTATTCACCCTTAAAATAAAGTAAATATTCTTAGTTTCTATGCTGAAAAAAAAAACAAAATGGTTTAGTTTCATGTGGCAATAAATTAAGCTTTTTAAGCACTTATATATGGTCATTATTACATAGTTGGGCGTTTTCTCGTTTGGTCCGGTGAGGTATTCTCTCCCCCATAATCCAGTTGATCTCTCTTACGTTTTTTGCTATGCTCATGCACCAATTCACTGACACTAATTTTATGAGATTTCATTTGCAACCAGTTTGTGAACTAAACGAAAATATGTGTTAATAATTTTTACGAACATATTGTAGTTGTTCATTTATAATCCTACCAGTGTATTTGTTTTCACACCAGATTCATATAATTTCTGTTCTATGTCGTCCAAACGATGCTCTGGTTTTCCATCCTCAGAGGTACTCTTTGATATGTCGAGCAAATGTCTTACACGTTGTCTCATTGTTTCAAACACAATTCGGCCGACGATATGATTGCGATCATAAGGTGTCAAATATCGTCCATACTCATAAAAATAAGGATGTAACCTGCCCAGCTCAATGTGTGTAGTTTCTGCTTCACATATCGCTTTATGTACATTTTTGTAGATATCCGGGACATTTACTGTAAAATATGGATTGCTAACCTTTAGTTCCTTTATGTACCACAATGGCAAATTCACTGTGCGTCCAGTATTTAAATCATCCGACTCAGCACCCGGATCTAGGAAACCTGTGCAATAAAAGTCAAATGTCACTATATTACGTTCATGGGCTACCGTGATTATTACCCATTTTCAGAAGTTTCGTGTTAACTTTACATTCTACTCTTTCTTGAGTTACAAAGATATCTTCAACAGCATAATAATTTGGAAAATAGCTTTGTGCATTCATCTGTCCGCCTTCTATATTAGAAATTGATGATAAATTAATAAGTTAGCAAAAATAAATTTTTGGCGCGCTTCGCCCAAGTAATCGCAATTGCATGTGGATCGAAAAAAAACAGGTGTATATTTAATGGAAATGCCGTCACATTTTTAACTCAAGCTAGTGCATAAGCCTTAGATAAAGTGCAATAATTAATAACTTAGAGAGCTGTGTTAACTGAAAAACAAAAATTAGAATATTAAAAACTAGAGGTGGGAAAACTTTTTGGCCAGACACACGATCACGTATACATTCGCACGCGGCGATTTTACAGGCAACAAAAGTTGAATACGAAGTTGAATGAGAAGTTGAAAGTGAAAAAGTTGCCATCCCTATTCAGACGAGGCGATTTTCGATTCAACACGAATCGTTATTTACATTATTGAAAATGAATTTAAATCGCAAAATTTTATCAATTGGCGTAAATTTGGTAAGCCAAGCGTTGGTAGAAGTGCTTTTAGCGAAGCTGAAAGATTAAATAAGAGTAAAAAAGTAGAAAAGAAGAAAAAGTACGTATACAGAACAGTGTTGGCATTTTTGGTGCAATTGTACTTGTTTGATACAATTTCATTTACAATATACTTTCCTACTACGCAGTACTTTTTAGGGGTACTGTTTAGTTAGTGGCCCACCTATTGCGGGGTATGGCGTCCAAAGGAATGACCCGATCCAAAAAAAAAATTGCACACACTTGTAGCCAAGGGTCTACCCATTATTTTAACATCCACTATTGTAATTTTTGGTCACTAATTTATTTACAAATTGGGTTTGAAATATGCCCTTTTTTGTAAAATTCGGAAATTAGCGTACATTTATCACTCCTATTTTCCTTAAAGCAGCCACTTCACCAATGCATTTTTATGTTGTTGTTGTTGTTGTAGCGGCTACAACAACCCCGCCCAGATCGGTTGGTATCTCAGTCGTTGTCGTCAAGTTCCACTAACGGCCACCCTAGGAAGCGTG